GTGTGGTCTGAACGTAGCATAAGAAACATGTAAACCTGCCTTGGAGGCAAAATTGACATTAACATAGGTTTTAAAAAACGTATTGGTTATCTTGAAGAAAGAAAAACACATTGCCTGTTGAAGAAACTTAAAAATGATTTATTTTAAACTATTTCTGCGCCTCACATCCAAAATAAAGTCTTAATTTTTCATCATGCAGTGATTGCTGATGATTATTAACCCTGTCCTGTTGGTTTCCTTATTCACTCAGCTGAGCTGCAGAACTCAGGAGATGTACAAAGAAAAATGCTGAATTTTCTGTTTCTGTGTTTTTATCTTTTAGGTAATTTTGGATCTGAAGGGTTCTGATTTTAACTACACTTATCAGACCCCCCCAGCGTCCCCTGGTAACATGTCCAGGAAGAGCAGCATCAGCAGGTAACTGAAGCTTTTGTGATGGAGCCTGGATGTAGGGGAAGCCTCAGAGTTTCTGGTAGTCCTGATCCAATATTGGGCTGGAAATAAGTCCGATATTGTCCAAAAAANTATGCTGCTGCAGACGGGCTGCGGTTAGCCCTGGCTGCTGTTAGCCTTGGAGCTCCACTGGTTGCCACGTTCCTCTTAACTTCGGAAAGTGTTTTTTAAATTACGCACTAAATCAGTAAAGGGACCATATAGTTACGCTATGCTCTCACCCCAAATGATCTTAAAACATACTTTTATAGAACAACGGCAACAGAAAACCGAACCTTTAACTTAATACTCTGAGCTCTGTGAGCGCTAACCTGGAAGCTGCTGCTGCTGCAGTGCATGCTGGGAGAGCTGTCAGTCTCAAGAACAGACAAGTCTGCTCTGATGCATGCTGGGTAAAGAGAGGGAGGTGCGGGAACAACATCCGGGAACTTTGTCCTCTCTCTGTCTTCTTGTTCTTGTCAATTGGATCTGTACTAGGGCTGAGGCTGATGACGTTTCACGAGCACATGAGAACGTACAAGTACAAATATTGAAAAACAGCCATTATTTGAAGGCAGGATGGTAATCTGGATTAACTGACGGTGGACTTTCTCACTTAAAAACATATTAAAAATACTTTTTACTAGTGTTGCACCGATACCGATACTAGTATCGGACGGGGCCCCGATACTGCCCTAAAATGGTGGTATCGGTATCGGCGAGTACCAACAAATAGGGCACCGATACCATTTTGAGAACCATAAGTTTATTCAACTATTGTCACCCACTCCTGGTAGG